AGATCACAAGCGACGCGCAATCAAATGATTTGCGCATGATTGGCCGTATATATTGCAACACAGACTGTTGAAATAAAAACATTAGGCTACAGTGTATAATTTGATCATTTACATTTGTAAAATGTATTATAGTAATTACAGCCCAGTAACTAAGGCACTATAGACAATGAAACACGTATTTTACAACACAGTTTGTATATTGGTCACGGTCGGGTATATTCTGCTGTTACCCGGTAGATACATTAATCAATTTCGTTTTATATTTTCGTTCTGTTTATTTAGTAAAACATATATTTCTTTATAAACGTAGGCCTACCTCTTTTTCTAGTTCATTCAAATTCAACCAAGCCAATCAATCTATTATCTATGTATATCTCGCAGCTTTTGTCTGCCTGAGCAGGACACGCATACTAACCGGTTGCACTGCGCAGAGTGTTCATTAGTGATGTTATGAGTGCACATGAGACCGCAGCAAATTAATCGGTTACATATATCCAGTTTCATATAGATCGGACCAAAACGCGTCAAGTTTCATGTAGACCAGACCAAAACGCGTCAAGTTTCATGTAGACCAGACCAAAACGCATCCAGTTTTATATAGACCAGACCAAAACGGACCCAGTTTCATAAAGACCAGACCAAAACGGTGTCCAATATAGATCGGACCAAAACGAGATCAGACCAAAACGCATCCAGTTTCTGAAAACGGGACAAGGTAAAATGCACGTATTTAGGAAAAGTCATGGAAGAACGAGGCTGTAGCTTTTCAACATTATATATTTATTTTAATTACTAACTGCAACGCCCGCGGGCATGGGCTGTTGGCGCTTCTAGTGTTAACACGCTGACATCTAGCGCACCGCGCATTGCATGTTGATACGTAGCTGAAAAAACGCCATAGATCTGCATCTAATTGAACGTGCACTGGAGCGCGATTCTACGATATTTCCGAAAAAGTGAATCGTGGAGACATTTTAATCGTCCACGATTAAATATCGTCATATCGCACACCCCTAGTTGGCGCACGGCAGGAGGAGTGTGAGGAGATCAAACGGCGAGTTGTTATGAGTCCGGCAGGAGTTACAGGTGTGTTTTTACTAGAGGGGGAGGGGTCGCCAGAATGAGCTGGGAGGAGCTCCGTAATGAATGGGGCCATTAGTTAGAGGGAAAACAAACAGGGGGTTCTGGTCCAGTCACGTTCATCTGACCTCCCAAGCCCTCGACACTTTCCCTTCAGGGGGACTCTTAAGTGGACGTGTAACTCACACACACAAGCTGCTCCTGGGCCATCGATTTATCTTGAGAGGACGAGTGGAAAACGCTGTTTACCTGCTGGATTGTGTTACCTAGAATTCGATGCAAATCGCAAACAAATGTAGCACTGGGAAATGTCTGAATCGCTCTTAGGGAGTCCTCAGGAGGTGCAACAATACACAGAAAACTATTTGGGGAATTTTATAATGCATTAGAATAAATGGTTGAAATATAAGATAGTGAGCCAGTTATGATAACTGTAGCCAACAAAAGGTCACTTGGTTGGAACAGCAACATTCAAGTGTATAAAGTATATTCAGATGTGCCAATGTGAATGTCATTTAAGGGCTGAGGTTTGAGGGCCAAGGGCAGTCTACTCTCCTTTTGGACCGAAGCCAAGGCCTCCCTCTCTGAGGCCCAGGGGCTTTGTGCTACTGGGGTCTCCTCTTACAGACCCCCTCTTACAGACCGCCCCCCCCCAAACACACAGTCACAAGGAAAGAGCGGTGATCCAATCAGCTATACTGCTCATGCACACAAACACACAAGCACACACACACACACACACACACACACAGGGACAGAGCGGTGATATACTCAGTTATACTGCTTTGCACACAAACACATACAGAAAAACCTTACTGGAATTCCCACAAGCACCACAAAACACACAAATCCTGTAAACACACACACACACACAAAATGTTAGGTCTTAATCACACACTGCACTCGGGTGTGGAAGCTGTTGTTGAACACACACACACACACACATATACCATACTGTTAACTCCTGCGAGAAATAGAAGTTTCTGGAAACACACACACATACCATACCATACTGTTAACTCCTACGAGAAAAATAAGTGTCTGGAAACTTCCTCAACAGCTGTGTTTCCACAGGGATCGTCCATGCGATGGAACAGTGACTGCTAACCTGGCTGTCCTATCCTGGCCGTCCCAGTCCACACAGCACCACACACAGCTGGTCACATCAACTCATTAAAACACCCACCCAGCCAGAACAACAGTTCAGACTTCGGACCTCCAGCGTGAGAATGCATGTGTTCTTCCAGGCCCCAGCAAAGCTCCTAGCCTTAACCTTTAACCCCAAAATAGGGACATTGTCGAAGACTCGCCCCAGTCAGAGGTCGCAAGCCGTGTCTTAGTTAGCCCAGGAAGCAACTGAACCTCCGCTCGATAAACACTACAATAGACTGCTCATTCATCACCGCACAGGAAACAAGCTAACTCCCAAGATGGAAACCCACTTTGTCGGGTCGTCACAATGATAGAGTCCTACCCTAACACAACTCGAACTGTTCGCCGAAAAAGGATATAGAGAACAGGGCAAAGCGGATTAAGTTGAGCCAAATGGTTAGTCAAGCCACACCCTGATTCTAGGAATCCATACACAAAATGCATGATGGTAACAAACAGAAAACCCCTGTGTTTAATCTGTGGGTGAAATGTGTTTCTCCATCATTGAGCCAGAAACACAATCATTACCAAATCCAACACATTGTCTTCAAAATAGCCAGTGACGTCTGTTTCTAAGCTATTTCACTACGCTGACCCATAATGCAACATGGAACAATTAGAGGGATTATTTTCGTCATCAAATGCACTTTCCCTCCTTCCTGGATTGTTTCGTGCGACAAAACAGCACATTTTAGAGTGACCTTTGACTGTTTTCAGGACATTGTGCACCATGTTTAATCAGCTTCCTGCTACGTCAAAGCTGTCAGGTGGACGAATTGTCTTGGCAACAGAGAAATGCACATTACATGTTATTTTTAGATTTCTGTTCGGTACACATGTTGATTTTTTTCTCTTTGGTATTATTTTTTGTAGCTACGTTTTCCAGCGGCCAGTGAGCTACAGGTGAGCCTAGCCAGTTAGCCGCTCTAGAGGGTTAGCGTTAGACTTCATTTTCATTCGATGTTCGATATATGGAGACTTCTTTGTTAAAAACACTTCTGATAGTGAAGAATGTAAATATAATTTAGTGTTTAACCCTTCACAGTGCCCCACACGCTCTTCTCATATTAGCCTAAATGCTTCCCAGACAAACAGCTGTGGAAGCAGCATGGTTTCACCAGAATGACCGTGGACCCAGAGGAGAGCTAACCTGATCAGCACACATGGCAAGGCTGATGCATAAGCATGTATCCGCACGCACGCACGCACGCACGCACGCACGCACGCACGCACGCACGCACGCACGCACGCACGCACGCACACGCACACGCACGCACGCACGCACGCACGCACGCACGCACGCACGCACGCGACGCGACGCGACGCACGCACGCACGCACGCACGCACGCACGCACGCACGCACGCACGCACGCACGCACGCACGCACGCACGCACGCACGCACGCACGCACGCACACGCACGCACGCACGCACGCACGCACGCACGCACGCACGCACGCACGCACGCACGCACGCACGCACGCACGCACGCACGCACGCACGCACGCACGCACGCACGCACGCACGCACGCACGCACGCACGCACGCACGCACGCACGCACGCACGCACGCACACGCACGCACGCACGCACGCACGCACGCACGCACGCACGCACGCACGCACGCACGCACGCACGCACGCACGCACGCACGCACGCACGCACGCACGCACGCACACACGCACGCACACACACACACACACACACGCACACACACACACACGCACACACACACACGCACACACACGCACGCACACACACACACACACACGCACACACGCACGCACGCACACACACACACACACACGCACGCACACACACACACACGCACGCACACACACGCACGCACGCACACACACACGCACACACGCACGCACACACGCACGCACACACACACACACAGAGAGAGATTGTTTTGTGCTGTGTTGAAACAGTAGGGACATAGTTCTGTTGGTCTGGACAGTAGGGTGTGTGTGTGTGTGTGTGTGTCCTACTGCGTACATCTGGAGCATTTCAGGATTTCATAACCATTCCAAAGAAAAATACTTGTCACTTGTCTCTTTCAGGGGACAATGGTGTCAGCCAAGATCCTCGAGGAGAGAGACCATTATGTAGATCTCTTCAACAGCCCTGTGTGGGACAATGAGGTCCACAACCACAAGCATGCTGGGAGAGAGACCATTACGTAGATCTCTTCCACATCCCTGTGTGAGACAATGAGCTCCACAACCACGAGCATGCTGGGAGAGAAACCAGTACGTAGATCTCTTCAACAGCCCTGTGTGGGACAATGAGGTCCACAACCACGAGCATGCTGGGAGAGAGACCATTACGTAGATCTCTTCAACAGCCCTGTGTGAGACAATGAGCTCCACAACCACGAGCATGCTGGGAGAGAGACCAGTAAGTAGATCTCTTCAACAGCCCTGTGTGGGACAATGAGGTCCACAACCATGAGCATGATGGGAGAGAGACCAATGCGTAGATCTCTTCCACATCCCTGTGTGGGACAATGAGTATGAGCTTTTCAGACTGTCGTTTCTTCAGGAAACAACAGCAAACTATTGATTCAGTCTTACATTAGAGCATGATTTTTGTTTCTAATAAGTGAGCTGCCTCACCACCTACCTGCCTGGACAGAAATCAATTGCCACATATAAAGGGGTATCAAACCCACAACTAACTGGCAGTCTGTAACCAAACGCTGAGTTATTGAAGGGGACTGAATACTTTCTAAAGACACTGTACATGGCATTATATTAGACACGAGGAGTTGGTAGCTCAGTGGTGGAGTGCACACGTTGTATGTATGATGTCCTGGGTTCATCCCCAGCTTCTCCCCAGCCGTTGCAAATGAGAATTTACTTCTCGGCCTACCTGGTTAAATACAATGAATCATTAATAGCCTCGCTGACTGTAAATGTGACTGCGAATGAAGAGACGGCAGCAGCGAAGCTAAGCTCTTTCTTAAAATACACTTGTGGGAAATGAAGTGTTTGTGCCATATCATTTTAAATAGTCGGTTGATTTGATGGATCACAAAATGGGAATGCAGTATTTGTATGAGAAAAGAAAGATCCAGATTGTTCTTCTATGACTAAGAATAAAAATTCAGTATGTGTTGGAGAAAAGAAACCTACACATTGTTCTTCTATTACAAACAATGGAAATGCAGTATGTGTATGAGAAAAGAAACCTACACATTGTTCTTCTATTACAAACAATGGAAATGCAGTATGTGTATGAGAAAAGAAACCTACACATTGTTCTTCTATTACAAACAATAGAAATTCAGTATGTGTATGAGAAAAGAAACCTACACATTGTTCTTCTATGACTAACAATAGAAATGCCAGACTTGCAAGTTCTAAAGTCTAAATTCCCCGCCCCATACCAGCAGGGCGTGTCCCAATGGATCTCTGCTCACGAGTCAAGTCGTCTCATGACATTCTGTACTTGTGCCACATTTTGGACTAACGTGACACCATAAGCTGATCCCAGTGCAGGACTAATCTTAGACTACACTGTGCACTGAACTGCTTTTGTTATAGATTGTGTGACGAAGCTTTCACACATCTCCCAGTTGAAACCATTCCAGTGGATGAATCTGTTATAGATGCGCTCCTGGATGATTCTCAGTGCTTGTTGACAACCCCAGAGAAAACAGAAGAGTGAAAAGAGAGACACAGATAGAGAGGTAAAGAGAAAGGTGTAGTCTTTCTTAGGAGAAAGAGTCTTTCTTAACAGAGAAAGAGAGAGACAGGTGTAGTGTTTCTTAATAAAAAGAGAAAGGTTTAGTCTTCTTGTGTGATTCCAGGTCTTTCTGGCCACTGACTGTAAACGATGTCCCCAAACAATGTTGAACTGGGATGCCTTATATGCTATTGGTCCTCCCAGTGATGCCAAAACAGCAACAACCCACCGAGGCATGAACTCTGCAAAACCCCTGAAGGTTCCTCCTCTGGTTTCTGGCACCAAGACATTATATCTAATATGAAGGTGTCCTGTGGTATCTGGCACCAATACATTATGTCTTATATGAAGGTGTCCTGTGGTATCTGGCACCAATACATTATGTCTAATATGAAGGTGTTCTGTGGTATCTGGCACCAATACATTATGTCTAATATGAAGGTGTCCTGTGGTATCTGGTACCAATACATTATTTCTAATATGAAGGTGTCCTGTGGTATCTGGCACCAATACATTATGTTTAATATGAAGGTGCCCTGTGGTATCTGGCACCAAGCCATTATGTTTAATATGAAGGTGCCCTGTGGTATCTGGCACCAAGACATTATGTCTAATATGAAGGTGTCCTGTGGTATCTGGCACCAATACATTATGTCTAATATGAAGGTGTCCTGTGGTATCTGGCACCAAGACATTAAGTCTAATATGAAGGTATCCTGTGGTATCTGGCACCAAGACATTATGTCTAATATTAAAGTGTCCTGTGGTATCTGGCACCAAGACAGTATGGCTAATATGAAGGTGTCCTGTGGTATCTGGCACCAAGGCATTATGTCTAATATGAAGGTGTCCTGTGGTATCTGGCACCAAGGCATTATGTCTAATATGAAGGTATCCTGTGGTATCTGGCACCAAGACATTATGTCTAATATTAAAGTGTCCTGTGGTATCTGGCACCAAGACAGTATGGCTAATATGAAGGTGTCCTGTGGTATCTGGCACCAAGGCATTATGTCTAATATGAAGGTATCCTGTGGTATCTGGCACCAATACATTATGTCTAATATAAAAGTGTCCTCTGGTATCTGGCACCAAGACATTATGTCTAATATGAAGGTGTCCTGTGGTATCTGGCACCAATACATTATGTCTAAATGAAGGTGTCCTGTGGTATCTGGCACCAAGACATTATGTCTAATATGAAGGTGTTCTGTGGTATCTGACACCAATACATTAAGTCTAATATGAAGGTGTCCTGTGGTATCTGGCACCAATACATTAAGTCTAATATGAAGGTGTCCTGTGGTATCTGGCACCAATACATTAAGTCTAATATGAAGGTGTCCTGTGGTATCTGGCACCAATACATTAAGTCTAATATGAAGGTGTTCTGTGGTATCTGACACCAATACATTAAGTCTAATATGAAGGTGTCCTGTGGTATCTGGCACCAATACATTAAGTCTAATATGAAGGTGTCCTGTGGTATCTGGCACCAATACATTAAGTCTAATATGAAGGTGTCCTGTGGTATCTGGCACCAATACATTAAGTCTAATATGAAGGTGTCCTGTGGTATCTGGCACCAATACATTATGTCTAATATGAAGGTGTCCTGTGGTATCTGGCACCAATACATTATGTCTAATATGAAGGTGTCCTGTGGTATCTGGCACCAATACATTATGTCTAATATGAAGGTGTCCTGTGGTATCTGGCACCAAGACATTATATCTAATATAAAAGTGTCCTCTGGTATCTGGCATTTCACATTGTGTTGTCAAATGAAAAGACATCATCAAATATTTACAAAAAATGTGACAGGTGTACACACTTTTGTGAGATACTGTACACAACATAAACCCTAATTGGGTGAGAAAACATTTTTTGATTCGCAAATGTTTTCAGCACAAATCCCAGATCCCATTACACCACTACTTTCTGCTTCTGTTTTTCACCATGGATCTTTCTCTGCCACATGCATCCATTCACGTCCTACAGAATCTATTTCTCTCCCTTTCAATTCCATTCCATTCAAAAGTGCTCTATTGGCATGGGACACATTTGTTTACGCGGCCAAACACAATCTCAGTCAATTCCATTCTCTTGCTGTAAACAAGTATCAACACGAGAAACCCTACAAGCCCCTCCATCTCTGACCCTCCATGTCCTGTCCTTCACTACACTCTCAACCCCCCTCGCTTTACCTCTATCTGACCTCTCTATCTCTTTCGCACATTCACTGAGTTTACAGCTCTCCCCTCCGCTCCCTCCCTCCATTCCGCCTATCGTATGTCAGACTCTCTTTAGGAACCTTTGAGTCTGGGTAGACGTTCCCACGTCCACAGGAACAGGTCTATCTGCAGGTTTCTCTGTGATAGATCTCCATCCTCTGTCGTGGGGTAAATTAACTGGTGGTTCCACATGCAGTCGCTCCACCATGTTTACTACAGTATCCAGCTTGCCCGCCTCTGTGACCTCTCCCTCCCTCACCTTTCCTCCCCCGTTCCTCTCCCTCGCCCTCCCCCCTACGAACACATGTAGAAACAGTGGCTTCTTTCACTAATACTTAACTACATCACTTCCCCTCGTTCCTCTCACGCCCTCCCCTCTCCTGCTTCTTTACTTTAATACCTCCGTTTCTCTCTACCTCTTTCGCTTCCTCTACTGCTTTCTCGGTTCTCCTGATTGTTTCTAGGCAACAGAGTAAACCCACATACACAATGTGCACACATGTGATAGGGCTAAACTAATTAATTTTCTGACACAATATAGTAATATAATATAAACAAGTTACTCAGAACTTTTCCTAATGCCACTGGAACATAGGGACGTTGTTCTCCACTGCCAACAATTAAACATCTCACACACACACACACACACACACACACACACGCACAGAAACACGCACAAAAACACAGATCATAATGTATTAAAAGAGTCAGCAAACCTAGCCATTATGTATGAACTAGGTCCACTGGGCCAGTGGCTGAGACCAAACGACTATGTGTGTTTGATCCAGAACAGGTCAGTGTTATCGCCCTCTACCCCAAAGATAAAGCAGACATTTCTATGTATAGAACAGTCATCTCAATCCGGCCAACTGAAGTCAGACCAGGGTTTATCATCAGAATACATGTGAATACCAGCGAAAACTAGGGGACTTGGATTTCTGGCTAGTTACTTGTTGTCCATAATTGTAGTGGGTCACTTGACTTTTGAATTACCGAAAACTGTGATGTAATCTGATTATAAGAAATAAAAGATAAAAAGTATCCCCAGCCTCACATCACACAGACCCCCAGCCTCACATCACACAGACCCACAGCCTCACATCACACAGACCCCCAGCCTCCCATCACACAGACCCCCAGCCTCACATCACACAGACCCACAGCCTCACATCACACAGACCCACAGCCTCACATCACACAGACACACAGCCTCACATCACACAGACCCACAGCCTCACATCACACAGACCCACAGCCTCACATCACACAGACCCACAGCCTCACATCACACAGCCTCACATCACAAAGACTCACAGCCTCACATCACATAGACCCACAGCCTCAAATCACACAGACCCACAGCCTCACATCACACAGACTAACAGCCACACATCACAAAGACCCACAGTCTCACATCACATAGACCCACAGCCTCACATCACACAGCCTCACATCACAAAGACCCACAGCCTCACATCACGTAGACACACAGCCTCACATCACACAGACCCACAGCCTCACATCACACAGACCCACAGCCTCACATCACACAGACACAAAGCCTCACATCACACAGACCCACAGCCTCACATCACACAGACCCACAGCCTCACATCACACAGACCCACAGCCTCACATCACACAGACCCACAGCCTCACATCACACAGCCTCACATCACAAAGACTCACACCCTCACATCACATAGACCCACAGCCTCAAATCACACAGACCCACAGCCTCACATCACACAGACTAACAGCCACACATCACAAAGACCCACAGTCTCACATCACATAGACCCACAGCCTCACATCACACAGCCTCACATCACAAAGACCCACAGCCTCACATCACGTAGACCCACAGCCTCACACCACACAGACCCACAGCCTCACATCACACAGACCCACAGC